ACAAGGTTATTAAATGCTGACATTAAAAATAGTCTCAGTTCTCAAAATTATTATATATTGCAGGGCTGTGACGTGCTAAAGCAGGGGTGTCAAACTCAATTTCATTGAGGGCCGCATTAGCATTGTGGTTGCCATTGGGGGGGTGGGTAGGTGTGGCTGGCATGGCCGTGGCCTACTGGGTGGGCGTGGCCAGCTCCATGTCACTCATGTCAGGGGCACCTGTGCAGGCCTGGGCAGGAATGAGGCACATCCGAGGGTGGGGAAGGGTGGGTGAGATAGGGGGCGGGACAGGGGGCAAGCGCCAGGGCCTGGTCCACTGAAGGAGCTTCACTGAGCTGTGCAAGGGGGCCCTGGACAGTGGCATGGACTGCCTAGAGCAGTGGTTCTCAATCTGTGGGTCGCGACCCTTTTGGGGGTCGAACGACCCTTTCACAGGGGTCGCCTAAGTCCATCGGAAAATACATATTTCCGATGGTCTTAGGAACTGAGAAACTATAGACTTTCCTAGCCTGGAGAAGTAGGAAAAGGGAGGGGGAAGAGAAGGGAGGAATCAGGAAGAGTTATCCTCCTACATTTAAGGCATGACTGGGAGATACCAGACCCTAATCAACCTCCGTGTTCGCCTCGCGGCTGAAGCCTCTGCAGCCACAGTAGCGGCGAGGAGAGCCAAGCATTCCCTGGCAATGGCAGCCGTGATCCTCCTCTCTGTCATCAGCCATTTTTGTCTGACATAATGAAAAAAAGCTGCCGAGTATTGTTCTAAAATGGGGGGGGGAGTTTAGGAGGAAAAGACGGGTGGAAATAATTCAATCAATCACATGACTTGACAGGATTTCTAACCATTTTTTTTATTGTGTGGTGAAATTGTATCTGTAGAAAAGCAGAGAGCCCCCCCCCTCAATATTCCCACGCCCATAGAGAAGCTAATAGATGGGGCAATAGAAAAAGCATCTCAAGGTAAGCGTTTCCTCGTGGAAGGCATATTTTGACCAAATATTTGTTTTTTCATGTGGCTGCGATGTCCGAGAAGAGGATTGGGTGGTGGTGGAAGAGACTTTGTCGTCGGGGCTGCTTCCCCCAGGTTCTTTTGCTGGTGCTTCAAAAAAGCCGCACGAGCGGTGTCCCTCATCTTTCCGGTCTGTTCCTCCTGAGGTCTTCAGGCGTGAGTGCCACGCAAAAGGAAGTGTGGGACGATACGTGGCGTGAAGGCGCTGTGAGCAAATCCCGGGAGCAGGGGGGGGAGTCCCGAAGGTGAAACTATGTACAATGGTGCTTCAAACGAAACACAAAACATGAAGAGGAACAACAACCCATCAATTTTAACTTTGAGCTGACTCTATTCGGAGACACTTGAAGTTAAGAGGATTGTGTGAGTGCAGGCAGGAAGGAGGGATGCCGTGAGCGGGAAAGGAAGGGGCTGGGCTCTCGCTTTGCATTCTTCAGCTCCTTTCCTCCCACCGGAGTGAAAGGAGCGTGGATGAAGGGCAGCCGCACACGGGGTTTCTGCCACTCAGGCTTAACTCTTGAGAGCACATCCTTCCCTCTCCCTGCTTGGAGGAAAAAACTCCTCTGGCTTGGATGCAAAACGCCGGAGTAACAAGCATTGGCAGGCTGTGGAGAAATTATGGTGGTCCTCGTCAGTTAAATTGGAGTGGGGGCTAATTAATTGCCATCTTTCCCCTTGGAAGTTTTATATGGGTTCATCTTTCCTTGCCAGGCATGAGCTTACCTTACAGAGGCTTGGGGCCCAATTCTCCACCATTAATTTGCAATTCCGATCAAATGTCAGCATCAAAAATGATACAAATTCAACATAATTCATAGGATTACCATTATTTTTTTGCAGAAAAATTGCACTTGAATATTTAAAAGAAGAGGGAATCTGACTTGAAGTCCTTGGACTACAATGCCAAAATTTCATTTATTTGTAATTAGAAATAAATATTTCACAATATATAATTACATATTGTTTTTGTGATTAATCACTATGCTTTAATTATGTTCAATTTGTAACAATGAAAATACATCCTGCATATCAGATATTTACATTATGATTCATAACAGTAGCAAAATTACAGTTATGAAGTAGCAACAAAAATAATTTTATGG